ACTTTACATTTTCCGTCGGTCTTAGTGCACGATGTAACTACAGAAGAGTCAAGTTTTAAATAGGAAAAATATTGAAACTCTTTGGTCATTTTTTTTTTAGAAATGCTAATGATCTTGTCCACTTCAATGATGTATGCTAAGCTATGCTAAAAGTGGTACCACCAGAACCGGAGATCGGCTGAATGGATTCAAAAACGGTAAAACTCAACAGTTTAACTCTGGGGGAGTTGTAAAATGAGCCTATTTCCAAAAAAAGTGGAGTATCCCTTTAAAGGGGGCAATCCCACTATATATATGTATGTTTATGTATGTGTGTGTGTGTGTGTCTATATGTGATAGATATATATATATATATATGTGTGTGTGTGTGTGTGTGTGTGTGTGTGTGTGTGTGTGTGTGTGTGTGTGTGTGTGTGTGTGTGTGTGTGTGTGTGTGTGTGTGTGTGTGTGTGTGTGTGTGTGTGTGTGTGTGTGTGTGTGTGTGTGTGTGTGTGTGTGTGAAATGTTTGAGAGGAGAAGAGTGGGGAGGGAGAAGAAAACGAACGAAAACATGTCTATTTGTTGTTTTGCAGAAGTTGCCAGGTGCTGCTTTGCTGTGGCTTAAATGCGGTTCCAGGTTTGGGACGCGCGATTTTTGCTTGCACACGATTGCATTGAACGTCTTTAGTTATTGCATGCACAATTGGCTTTATGCACAGCTTAACTACTTCCTGAACTTCAGCCAGCCCTTTGTTTCCTGTCTGTCATTATTGGACAAACTGATTAATCCAGGTGTGCCTGGCCTCAGTAACAATAATCAGGCACACCTGGATTAATCAGTTTGTCCAATAATGACAGACAGGAAACCAAGGGCTGGCTGAAGTTCAGGAAGAAGTGAAGCTGTGCATAAAGCCAATTGCCTTGGATGCGCTGTAAAACCGTGGCATTTCTATATATGACAAATGCAGAAAACGATTAAGGATTAGCTTTCCACACAGTGCGCGAGTAATAGGGCTACAATGTGAAATACATGCACATAATCGGTATTTAGAAGATGAGCACTAACATATTATATGATTTAAATTGTTAACAAAATAATTACAGAAACATTACAGACAACTCACCGTGCACTCGGTCATGTTGTTATAATGTAAAGGGATAATGTTGCCTATCCAAGCATCAGCCTGAAAGGGGTTTATTCTTAGACAACAACCGGCTGGATGTACATTATCCCGCTTATTCCACGGCTTCTTGCCACATAAATAATTAGACACGAACTATTGATCTTTGATTCTTTACCGAAAGAAGTATGTCATCCAGGTACTATTTGCCTACTCTTTTATGAGTGCTGTGAATTTGGATATACTTTTTTTTTTGTCACATAGGCCTACTGTTTTTTCACCTATCGGGATGTAGCGATTTCGCATGCAGCCTAAAATTCCACAACATTAACCATCAGCCTGATTAAATCTCTCAAAAATACTTTAAAATGTCACAAAAATAGTGTAATGAGTCGATCATTCATATTTGAGGGAAACATAGGCATGCTAAATGAATAAATGTAAGTTATGTGAAGCACACACATCTGAACGGCATTTAATAAAAGTACTTCACTAAAGAAACTGGGCATTCAGTTTCATCTATAAAAACTTGTTCTGGACTCTGGGAGTTCAAGCGATGGACCCTACTTTCTATCATTTCTGTCATCACTGTTAAAATAATAATGGGGACAGTGTATCATCAATCATCCAATATTGTGTTTATACAGCATGTGTGTGGAGAGAGAAGGACACTAAGGAGGGAGTTATGGGGAATAAACAAAGTGGCGTAATACAAATTTGTCCCCTTAACAACCTTGAGTGACGGCATGCATCAATGTCCTGTAGCATCGCTGATGGCATGGGATGTTGTTTTGGCAATTTCTCTCTACTATAGTATTCTCTTTAATTTGCTTCTCTGTGTTGTGCTGAGATATTTTTTTCATGTTTCTGAATTGCTGTATTTGAGAAATTCTGTAGGTAGCTAGCCTAAAGGCTTAAAATTTTAATTTTAGAATAATATCAACTTTTTTATAGTGAATCCATCACCCATTTGCCATTGACTATTATAGATAATATAAAAGTAGATCAGTAAAAGAACAAACATTCTCAGTCTTGTTTCCGTAAGTTTATGTGTAATGGAAATGTGCCAGCCATCAGCCACACTTCACACCAAACATATAAGACAAACGCACAGTTGACTTGACTGATTTCACCATCAGGAGTTGAATGTGGATGGTTGGTGCTCATTTTTTCGACAGACAAAGCCAAAGGCAACAGAAGAAAAAAAAACACTAGAGAGTGAGAGAAAAATAATGCATCTTTATCCATGTCAAAAGCCATTCTAAAACTTCTGCTTATGGTTTCTCTCCCCTTATAATGAACATTTGACCCCGAACACACCCAATAGCCTATTTACCATGTTTGCGCTCTTTAAATCATTCAGTAGTTTCAGCTTCTGCAGGGGTACAAATTGTGATTGAAATTAAAAAAGGGCTCCACCCTACTTGAGGTGTAACACATCATTACACCTGATGAATGAAGGCTCTGCCCACTACTGAATACAGAACAGCATTATGAGAGTTTGAGGCCTGAACAGCTGGTTCATTGTGATGTCATATCCTGTGGACTTCCTGGGTGGAGGTGGTTGTGAAGAATGGTGTATGTGTGCCTGGTGTGGTAGTGGAAAGCCAGTGCCAACAACATACTGTGCATGTTTTGTCAGTTGGTGAATAATATGAGGGAGGTGATACTGACACACATACTTAACTTTCGGGAGTAATTTCTTTAGAAAGTCATTTGAAATTGAAACAAGCCAGAGCTATGGCATGTAGTCTTTAAAAAATACCTCATTCTCAGCATTTAAAAGTTCATTTTATTTTGTTATAATGACATGGGCATGAAACGTTGATTTGAGCTGAAATTGCTTTACTTGTTGAGAAGAAAGTGTGATATGAGCAACATCGAATCAGAGAATGTAACTGGTGTTTCTTAAGCTTCTGGTTGATTTTTTTTTTTAGTAAAACTAACAGATTTAAAATTATTTTCTTTTTATATGAACGGGTGACGTCAAAAGGAGAACGGACGTCAAAAGAACATTTCAAAAGGAGCAAAAATAAATGAAGACATGGAAAGACATTCTAAGACAGTTGTGACAACTGTCTTAGAATGTCTTTCCATGTCTTCATTTATTTTTGCTCCTTTCGAAATGTTCTTATGGATAAAGTTTAATTTTTTAACCTGGTCCCAGACCCAGACTTTGAATCTTACAGAAAAGTAAACACTGACAATTTTATAATTTTGCTTAAAAACAACAACACTTAATTTAAACATTTAATCTCCCCATCCAGTCCCATGCAAAGCTAGAAATCCCAGTTTCTGTTAATGCTAGCGAAAATGATCCATGCAATCCCGACACAAATGGATTGTTAACTTCTATTTAGCCTATAAGTGGATCGCACACAGTTAAATTAATTTAAATTTGTTACCAATTGCACAATAATTAAGTTGCATTGGCATATTTTAAACTGACCTAGAAGCAAAAAATTACTTTTGAGTATGTTGACAAAGAAAGAGATATCAATGTAAATATAACTTCTGAACTTCATTTTTAATCAAGCTGCAATTTGTTTTTAAGCAAATGCAGCCATAGTTGAAGAAACACCCAAATGTTTCCTAAAATATTCATTATCAGTCATTTTGTTTACGTAATGTTACACACTTTTTAGTTTTCAGGTCATCCTAACAGTGATTTACATAAACAATGGAGACAGATTTCTTTATTTCAGACCTGTATTTCAGACTTGCATGACCACATTAGCAGGGCTTTTGCAAATTTGAAAATGTGAAAATAGGAGCCTGTTTATACAGATTCCTGACCCTCACATTAGAGCAGCACAGCCCTTGGAAACAGGGTAAACATTGTCGGCTAATTAGCCACCGCAACTAAACAAAGGCATGGTGTGTTTTGCCTTTGTGTTTTTTTAGAAGGCAAGTTTGAGGTGGTGTGTTTGTTTGCTGGTGGTGTGTGATGGGTGACTTTTTGGGGGCTGTGCACAATTAAGGTCTATGAGTAGTAAAGAGTGTTTGGAATTCTCACTTTTCCCCCAGACCTGTAGTTCAAGAACTGCAACACAACCACCGCCTCGACCACTACCATAGTGACAGCCATGGATACACTTACTGTGGACGGATGTTACAGCAATAAAGAGAAATGAGCGGTATCTTCAATGATTGTTCGTTTGTTCAGCTTTGCAATTAATCTAATATGGGACAAACATGGTCAACAGGAAGGAAGCTCTTTCACACTGTATATTTTTCATTAGAGCTATTTTGCTATTGTCAAGTAATCGTTAATATTTACAGTCTGACTCCCAGTGTTTATCTGAGTAAAACTGTATTTGTTCCATATGGCTGTGCCCGTCTTTGTGTGTGTGCATGTGACTGCAGCCTACAGCTAGTGAGTCCATATGTTTTTTTTTAGCTTATGTACAGACCCATATGCTCCTGTATCATTTAGTGTTCAGAAAACGGCCAATAATCAGACTGAGGGTTTAAAAACACATCCCTAGATTCAATGCAGCCAAATGTAACATAAATCCACCAGTCATATACCTGTTCTTTTCAGAAGCCAAGAGCTAACTTTTAAATTGATATCAGTTCATGATAATTACTAATAATTTATGTATGTTTTGATTTATTCTGAAGTAATTCACTTATACTAATAATTGTTATCATAATTTATCTTTAAGTCTTTCCTTCAAAACTTCTGAACATCACTGTTGTACTGTGTTGGTCAGGTCTCAAAAATAGCATCTTTGTGTGAATTGTGTTAGGTGGCTTAGTGGGTGGATCTATGTAAATGAGGTGGTCCAGTGTTTTATGAGATGACCAGGACTCTCGGTCCCAGCATTCATCTCAGCATCGCCACCACAACTGAAGCACACAGTGTCCTTTTTAGAGACAATTTTATAAGTTTTTTTTGTATTGACTATGAACAACATGGACAGATGTGACTAGCTAGTTACACTTTTTTTTACACATAGATTTTGTTCTGGCAATAGAGGGATTTCCCTCTGTCATTTTTTGTAGTTTTTTTTTTAGTATTGATAATATACAAAAATCATGTTACTGGAGATGATTTTGTGCTGTTTTCTTCTTCTTTGGAGTTCTTTTCTGACTGTGGCAGCATTTCACCCTGCATCAAGCCGATATAGCCTCTACTCAGGACCAAATCCGCAGCACAACTCAGAGAAACCAACGGCCAGGCATAAGTGAGTATCCATGAGTGAAAAAATCATTGTCTTATTTGATGGCACAGATAGCCAAATAGCCATTGAATGTTACTAAATAATTTTAGACACATCTGTGAGGCAATACAGCCCGCACTGCTGCACTTGATCTATTTACTGACATCTGTTGGTAAAAATGTTAATATTCATTCCATTCTGATTAAGATTGATAAGAAAATATGACCCATGACGACTTAAATTAATCTACTGTAGACACAATACCTGTTGAGTTAACATTTTCCAGTTTTGTAATACAGTTGTGCATAATCAGTTTAGTTTACACTGAGGTGAGTTTACACTCAAATTTACTCAAATTCATAGTGAATTGAATGTTGCACTTTACAACAAAGTTTTATACATTAACATTAGTAAATGTATTAGGTATCATCATCAACAATGAATGATAATATTAACAGATTTTATTCGTTTTGCTTAGAAAAATAAACAAATGTTAATGTATATAACTTTTAATATTAAAATGTATATGTAGAATAATACATTGTTAAACAAGATGAATAATTGCTGTATAAGTATTGTTTATTGTTCATGTTAACTATTGCGTTGACTAACTCTCTTTCTCTCTCAGGAACCACTGTGCTTATGTTGTGGAGAGAACTGTCTCATTCACTATTCAGGATGGAGCGACTCCTTTCATGAAGGCAGAGTACAACAAGTGTGCTTGGGGTCAAAAATGCCCAACTATAAAGTAAGACAGCTATTAATAATTGTATCACTTTCATATATGCAATTAATGTTTAAAAAAATACACTTTTTGACACCCTGTCTGTTTTTACAGGTATCGCACATACTACAAGCCTATGTTTAAAGTTGCATATAAGACTCTGACTGAGCTGGAGTGGAAGTGCTGTCCTGGTTATGCAGGTGTCGGTTGTACTGCGGCATATGGAATGAAAGCAAGGCCCCTATTCAAAGGACCAATGCCTGCACAGAAGGGCCCTATGCCTCCTTTTAAAGGGTCCATGCCTGCACAGAAGGGTCCCATGTCTTCTTTTAAAGGACCCATGCCTATGCAGAAAGGTCCCATGTCTTCTTTTAAAGGTCCTATGCCTGCACAGAAAGGTCCCATGTCTTCTTTTAAAGGACCCATGCCTATGCAGAAAGGTCCTATGCCTTCTTTTAAAGGGCCTATGCCTGCACAGAAAGGTCCTATGCCTTCGTTTAAAAGGCCCATGCCTTCTTTTAAAGGTCCCAATCCCTCTCAAAAGGGTCTAGTGCCTTCATTTAAAGGACAATTTCCTCATCCCAACTTCAATGGAAACCCCTGGAATCAACCTCAAACACAATATAATGCCATGAATGGATACCCAGGCCCTAATACTGGGCCCTCTTCCCAAGATACCTCAGTTGAACCTTATTCAGACCACCAAGAACCAGAAGTAGATTATCCTGAACCCATGCCAGAGCCTCAAGATCTTGGCCATGACTTAATCCTAGAAGAGAATGAGCCAATCACAGACTACCAAGATCCTCAACCAGATCACAGTGAGATGGAGCCTGCTTCCAATGCACAGGCGCCCTCTGGTGGTGGTGAAACAAACCAAGGTAAATAAGCTATATGCAGTTACACACTCTTTACAGTATATACAGTTGTTTTAGAATCTGCATTTTTTTTGTGTGTGCCCAAATAAATAAATAAATTTGATTAATTCACAGATCATGGTGACAACATTATCGAAGATGAGCGGTTTGATAGGATAGAAGAGGATGTGCAGCGACTCTCTCTTGGTCTTGATACTCTCCGTGGTACAGTGACAGGCCTGGAGGCCAGCTTGCGTGCTTCCCTCCGTGAAGACGCCAACCGGATGTTGACTGCACTAATTTCTGCTGCACCCAGCCCTATTGCTGCTCCTTCCCTGTCTAGGGACTCTTCTGTGGGTTTCGGAGATTTACCTGGAGGTGCACCGGATATTGAGGGTTCAGATGTGGTGGGGCAGTTCCCAAACTTGGTCGATTTGGCTGAAAAGGTTTCACAGCTGCGAGCAGAGCTTGTGGCAAAGGCATCTGAGCTGGAAGGGTTGAGAGGAGCCGTTGTTGGTCACAACAACACCCTTCAAAGATTGTCAGAAGGGTCAGTGAACCTTACTCAAACTGAATTCCAAAAGGCCCTGGAGACTATGGTGGAGTCCAAAATGAGTGAAGCACGGGTGGCTATCTTAGATGGCTTTGAAAAACGTGTGGAGAGTGCTGAGGAGCGTTGCGAGGGTCACATGGCAGAGGTGCGGCTACAGTGCAAGGAGGAACTTTTAAATGGACAAGATCAGATTGAGCAAGTCCTAGACATCAGGGCCATAGGATTGAGAACAGAACTCCAAAAACTTCAGGCTCAGCTTCAAGACCTGGAGCCTGAAGAGGGTTGTTGCATTGCTGTATCGGGTCTAACTGAAAGGATAATTCATGTGGAGCAGTCAGTGGGTGGCTTGAATGAGTCCCAAATACACCTACGTGCCGAACTTGGTGGACACAAGGACCATATAGAGGGCATGTTGGAGGGCCGACTGGCTTATGTGGAGTCCAAGATTAATATTGCATTGAATCAAGAGGAGGCGAGCATTGACAAAAGAGTGCCCACCGACCTGGAGACACAAATAGAGGGGAAGCTTAAGGCTCTTGAAAGTCGGCTCTTGGCTGCAGTGGACGAGCTAGGTAATGTCACAGCACCAACTTTGCTAGAGGGTCAGGCTGTGCCCACACTGGAGACAGACGTAGAATCACTCAGAAGAAGTGTTGAGGACGATTTGGACCGTTTACAGAAACAGCTTAAATCCATAGAGGTCATGTGCACTTCATTTTGTGTTCCACAGCCTATTCTTACAGGATATGCAGCTCCTTTGGCAACTGAGGAGGAGAAAATTGAGGACAACCACAAGGAACTGAATGAAAAACTTGATTTACAGGTACAGAGATTGAACAACCTCAATGCCACGCTATATAATCTTCTTGTCCAGTTGGCAGAAAAACAGGAGGAGGTAGGTCTTCAGGGTGAGGTGACCCTGCTGAAAGTTAGTGTGAACTCAGTTAACAGATCTCTCTGTGGCTTGCAAGAGTCTCTTGGCTCTGTGATCAGAGAGGTCGGCCACACAAACCTCACCTGGCAAGAGAGAGAAGAGAGGCTTGCACAGCAAGTGAAGGGTGTGGTTCAACTGGTGGGACGACAGGCATCTATGTTGGGTACTGGGGAGCGCAAGTTGACCCGTCTGAAAGGGGAACTCCAGGATCTGCGGCGCAGAGTGGCCGGAGAGCTACAGGGTTGCCGCTCGACTGCCCTGGGTGTTCAGAAGGAGGTAGATGAAGTCGGGGGTCGTGTTGCCCGTGTGGAGGGTCAGTGTGGAGGGCTGGCACACCTGGCTGATGACCTAGAGAGAATTCGAGGAGAGCTAGAGAGACACTCTGATGGGTATCTGTCTCATGTTAATAGCACCCTTGTTAACCATTCTCACCAGCTATCCAAGCTCAGAGATAGCATTCAAAACTGCACTGGACCATCTGGGTCTACTAGGAAAGACGGGGATAATTTAGCTACAACACAACAAATGGAAGAACAACACACAACAGAACCAACCCATCCAAGAGGAGACCAGTTTGCAGTCCCCACACAGCACAGAGGTGACTAGTAATTCAAGTGCACTTTATAATGTGCAGACAGTCTATACTCAAGACATATACTATTATATAGTATCTTTCTCAGGAGACTTTTCTCTTACCAACATCTGTTGTATGATCAGTGTTGTTGAAATTCCCTCTTCCCAGTCTGTGGTGTTGCTGTATTGTATTGTCGTTGTCTTTTTTATCACTTATATATATTTAAAAAACTTTTACTTAGGAGTTTAAGGGTTGATAGGTGTATTCATTGTCTTACTGTGTTTGTGAATATTTTTATATAAATTGGATGCCTGACTTTGCAAATGTTTTTATTGTAGGACTTTTTAAATTAAAGAGACTGTTGTGTTAATGTGGTAGATTCAACATTTCTTGAACATGCTCAACAACCTTTGTGATTATTATTTTATTTTTTTTACTTTTGTTACCTCTTTTTACTTTTCTGTGTTTATATGTGGTTTGTGAAAGCTGGTTCTTAATAAAATGTTGAAATCTCACTTAATTTTTTAGTTTATGAAGTTGACAAATTACTGTGTATATTATGAATTTCCAACAGAAAACATAGGCAACAGGCTAATAATTGCACACTTTAATGCCATAACATGAAGTAGCCTACAATAAAATATAAAATGTCATCATTCAATTTCACATTTAGACTTTAAACATGACATGACAAAAAAATAACACAATAATCAACCATACACATGTGGAAACCTTATGAGTCCCTGTTGTATTCCATTTTTCCTATGTTTAGAAGAAAATTACATCTGGGAAAGAAAAAAAGGACACGTAAAGCAGTTATTCCACATTTGATTTGATGAGCTGGGTTATCATTAAAGTCTGAATAAAACAGTTGAAACTGATGTTTTTGGACATGCACTTCTGTGAATTTGTGAAACCAACATGCAAAATATGATTTTTTTTTCCCATTTAAATGTAAAAAGTACACTTGAAAGCCCTCATATATTATAATCTAAAGGTGATTATGTAAGTATTTTGGTGCTGATGCATTGTACTTACTGACAGCCCTCCCCTGCTCTTTCAGTTCCTTGATGTATTTGACTATGGAAAAAGTGTCATACCCAAACACTGCTGCTGCCATCAAACCAAAAATCTTAAAGAAAGATCAAACATGAAAAAAGTTTGAAAGAAACAATTGTAAAAGCACAAGGATCATAAAATGCACAACAGGACATAATCACTACTATTATACTTATTACATCTTATCACTAAATAGAAAATTATTATATGATCTCATTTTATAAAACGTGTTAATGAGTTGGACAGCAACACCATTAGATATACATTTAGGGGCCCAACAACCTAAAACTTTAATTATTTTGCTTTTTCACATGATCCTTTCAGACAGAAACATTCTTTGCTTATTTACTCACCGAACCAGCAACTTCCGCAGATATTTCCCATGCCCAGCTAATGCAGACAAGAGAAGTAATGAGCAAGATGAGTGAACCTGTGATTGCTCTAAAGAAGTCCTGCAAGACAAATGAGAACATGTAACTTTCTTAGTTAATTTTAAGAACAAAAAAGGAAGGAGGTTGAGAATAAAAACTATTGAGTGAGTTGCACTTATATCATGGTGGTAGGTAATAATTGTTAATAAATAAAAAAATAAATAAATAAAATACTAATCCAGAGAATCCAATATCCATTTTACCGTCCATGGGAATAACTGTATCTGCAGATCCATGCCATAAACAATGAAGATGATAATGGCCCAGACCAGCTCTATAATGGGGCTCCACAAAAAGCATCCAAGAGAGACTGCTTTACAAATAATCATAATGAGACACAGAGCCTAATTTAAAACAAAAAAGTAGTATACATCAAGATGAATCACCTACAGCTTGCATATAATGTGTAGCATCAAATGAAAGTCTATTTTAAAACCATTTAGATATTTTATTTATTTATTTTAAAGCAATATGAATCTTGATTAGCTACATTTTAACTCTGGGCAGACTTACAATTTCAAGAGCTAAGTCATCCCCTTTGGTGACCAGATGAATTTTGTCTTATGCTCAGCGGCTGAAACTGGCTGGATATCTTCTTTTGTGTCTTCCATCTTGATCTACGTGACCTGATCAAAAAAAAAAAAAAAAAAAAAGCATCTAGTACCAGACAATGTGTTAATATAGACAAATTATATATAGGGTGCACTGTATTTTACTTTTACTGAACAACAGTAAAAATCATCCTTTTTAGTGTTATTCCACCAAAATTACAAGTAAAATATAGAGAAAACAATTACCAATATACTATTTAGTGGCCTATAATCATTTAAAAACTTAGTCAAAACATGTGATATGTTTGATGATGCAGTAAATACCTGAAAAGAAACCGTTGAATAAATCTCTTCGATGCGATGCTTTCACAATGGGACTTAATACAATAAAAGCGCAGCCCAAGTGAGTAAAGGTGCAGTAAGAAAACTAATCACAGCCAGGCTACATCTATTGCACAACAGCACTTTCTACACACCCCTCTGAGTACAAGTGAATGACGCATATAAGATTCCACATTATTTCTGCTACAGTTTCTCACTTGCAGGCCAAATACAGGATATGTTCCTTCCAGCCAACGGATGCTACCGTTATTGGTGGGTCCGTGTAACTCACCAAAGATCTTGAATATGACAAAAAGAGACATCAAAGCTGGTAAAAATGCCATTATTAAAGTGTGTATGTCAGGTTAAATTTGTATTGATCTTGACAGAAATATGATCTTGACAGAAATGGCTATAAAACTTACTGTAGGGCAATTACAGTAATAATTGTTATGATAATTACATTTTCACTCAGACATCTAAACCTTATTTAATATATCTAAAACAATTTTTTTTTAGACATACACACTTTAAGGGAAAAGCATTTGCATGATTAGAGTATATCATAAGCAAGATGAACGATCGCCATGAATCATCTGACATTTGAATTTATGACATGGTTTTCATATCATATATGTATGATAGAAGTATGATAAATAAGCCTGTTTATGTTTACCTACAACAACCCACATAGCGTGCATAACTCACAAGTGACTCTCTAAATGTGGTTTATTGTGAAGGGAGAATGTAGTCATTTCCTCTGTTCAGGAGAGAATTTCAGTTTGTGGGCATTTAGCTGAGGCCAAAGCTTTTTTCATAGACAAACAGCACATGAGCAGACAAATTAAAACTTTCACTCCTCCAAACAGTTACTTATTACAAATTCTATTATGGAAATAAATTGTAGTAAGTAACGTAATTACTATGTACTCTGACTACTTTTTGATTACTTTTGACCTAACCCATTTATCACTTATATTTGAATGGGATTATGTACCATTGTAAAAAGATCCACTGAAGGCAATTTTTTAGAGAAGAACCCAAGTGCAGTTTATTACATATAAGATTAAACTCACAGTAAATTTTAAATCCAGAAATCAACACCAATAGAGTTAATTTCAACACTTTAAAAATGTATATAGGAACCACCCACAAAGTGTTAGTTCAACACTTTCAAAAGTGTTGCCTCTCGCAACACCGACACAGTGTTACAATGTGTAAGGGTGGATTTCCAGCAGGGGGTTCAGTCTGCAAGCCTGCCGAATGACTAAAGAAACGTTGTCAGCAAGATGGTAGAAAACTGTACATTTCTTGTCTATTTCCACCCACTGCTACTTATACCAACGACGGAAATAAGCGCAGTTACAATAGCTTAATATGTGGGAGAGCATTGCTATAGAGCAGGGGTGGGGAACGTCCGGCCCCCGGGCCGTAACCGGCCCGCAAAACAGTTTGATGCGGCCCGCGAGTCAAATCCTCCCCAAAAAAAAAAAAAGAACTTCAGAACCAAAAATCTCAGCCATTACTTTTCCTGTGACAGAAAACACAAAATAGGCAAAAGCGGCAAGCAGGGCGAGGCCAGTAGCGCGAGTCACCTGCGCACCGGTTTCAGTTTCTCACGGATGAGCTTCGGGGGCGCGCGCGCCGCACCGGTTTCAAGTTTCTCACCGCGCCCCGCACTGGTTTCAGGTTTCTCACTGATCAGCTTCGGGGCGCGTAAAAGGATCGGAACGAAGACAGCGGAGGACCAGGCATGGACTTTACTTTATGTGTGTGTGGTCGTCGTCCACGAGGAGCTACTGCTTTTACTTTCGTTTTGTCATTTGCGTATTAATGTATTAAAGTGGTTTAAACGTTTGCCGGTTCCCGGTTTTTGTGCTTTTATCCACCTCTAAATAGCTATAAATTAAGCTTATGTCGTTTTAGTTTCATATTGTTAATTGTTAGTTTCATAGGTTGTTAAACCTAAGACGAACTCTTTCATATTGCGCTGCATTACTGTCAGTGTTGTTGACTATTACTGACGGTAAGGTTGCGCTGTTGATGCTCGCAGCCTCTCGAGGAGAAATCTACACAAATGAGCGCACACACACACACTCAGTTAACAACATACTGCCTATAAAAAATCTAAATGTGGAGTTTTTATATTTTTAACATATGTTAAGCAACCTCAATTATTTTTCCTGAACACCATCACGATTGAAAATGTGACATTAATTTCCAACAACAGTTCAATAAACAGTTAAAATTAAGTCACTTACATTTTAGATGCAATATTGGCTGTTTTTGTTCTGTTTCAGCAGCGAAAATAGTTCCAAACAAAAATCACAGCAGAACCACGGGGCATCTCACAGGAACACTCAACCTGTTTTCATTACTGAATGATTCAGCATTTTGAACGAATCGATTGAGTCAAAGATTCAATGACCCATTCATAAACATCTGTCTCAATCTTGAATGAATCAGCCGTTTGAACAAATCGTTTGAGTCATGAATGAATCAATGACTCACTCATTAAGACGGTCGCCTGCCGCCACCTACTGGCGGTTTCGTGTTATGTTTAAAAGTAGATCATTCTTTCCAACGTTTCTAATTTGTAAATTTAAATCTATTTCATGACATTATTTTATGCAATTGTAATTTTTCAGTGTAAATGATTTAATTTGATCAGCCCTATAGTGTCTTATTATTCGAAATAATTAAATTTATTGATCAAATTTAGGAATTTAAAATGAAAGATGAAGCATACATTTAATAATATTGGGGGAGGGGATGCCCTTTAAAGGTGCAAATATTACAATATGCCGATTTATATATCAAAGCTAATTGAACACTGATGAGAATATTGTT